AAAAAAAAAAAAAAAAAAAAAGGGCCGGGGGTGGTGGTGACAAAGGGACCCTATCTCAGAAAAACCAAACACCTAATCCTTGAGGCTGAGGAGGGACACTGCGAAGTGTTTCTGGGTGGGGCGGGGAGCACAGTGTCTTCTGTCATTTCTTCCACCTGGGAGTGGCCAGCTCTCCCTCCAGGCTGCCTCCTCTTCTTCCCATTGTTGGGATGTTGGGCACATTTGGTTAACTGGATAGAATAACGCGAGTTCCCAGGGACTTGGTCCATTTGCTATTTTATTTTATTTTATTTATTTATTTTTTGAGACAGAGTTTCGCTTTTGTCACCCAGGCTGGAGTGCAGTGGCGCGATCTCGGCTCACTGCAACCTCTGCCTCCCAGGTTCAAGCGATTCTCCTATCTCAGCCTTCCAAGTAACTGGGATTACAGGCACCCACCACCACACCAGGCTAATTTTTTGTATTTTTAGTAGAGACGGGTTTTCACCCATGTTGCCCAGGCTGATCTTGAACTCCTAGCCTCAGGTGATCCACCCGCCTCAGCCTCCCAAAGTGCTGGGATTATAGACGTGAGCCACCGTGCCTGGCACCATTTGCTCTTTTAATTCCCATGTGTGTTAGTGTCCCACGGCTGCAGTAACAAATGACCACAAACTGGATGGCTTAAAGCAACAGAAATGGATTCCCCCAATATGCTGGAGGCCAGAAGCCCGCAACCAAGCTGTTGGCAGGGCTGTGCTTCCTCTGCAGGCTCCAGGGAGAATCTGTTTGTTGGCCTTTCCAGTGCTGTGGGTGCAGGTGTTCCACGCTTGTGGATGCACCACGTCAACCTCTGCCCATCTTCGTGTGTCCATCTCCTTTGTGTCTGCGTCTTTACGTCTTCCTCATGTCTGTGTTGCCTCTTACAAGGACATTTGTCACTGGGTTTAGGGCCTACCCAAATCATCCCAGATGACCTCGTCTTGAGATCCTTAACCTGCAAAGACCCTTTTTCCAAAAAAAGGTTATGTTCGCAGATTCTACGCCTTAAGACATGGGTGTATCTTTCTGGGGGGCACTATCCAACCCCTTATACAATGAAAGAAGGGAAGAGGGCCACGTGTGGTGGCTCACACCTGTAATCTCAGCACTGTAGGAGGCTGAAGTGGGAGGGTCACTTGAGCCCAGGAGTTTAAGAGCAGCCTAGGCAATATGATGAGACCCTGTTTCTACAAAAAGTAAAAAATAAAAAAAAAAAGCCAGGTGCGGTGGCTTACGCCTGTAATCCCAGCACTTTGGGAGGCTGAGGCAGGCGGATCACATGGTCAGGAGTTCGAGACCAGCCTGACCAACATGGTGAAACCCCATCTCTACTAAAAATACAAAAATTAGCTGGGTGTGGTGGCGCATGCCTGTAATCCCAGAGAATCGCTTGAACGCAGGAGGTGGAGGTTGCAGTGAGCCAAGATCATGCCACTGCACTCCAACCTGGGCAACAGAGCCAGACTCTGTCTCAAAAAAAAAAAAAAAAAAAGGCAGGCATGGTGGTGCATGCCTGTAGTCCCAGCTACTCAGGAGGCTGAGGCAGGAGGGTGGTTTGACCCATAGAGATCAAGGCTATGGTGAGCCATGATCGCACCACTGCCCTCCAGCCAGGACGGCAGAGTGAGGCCCTGTCTCAAAGTAAGTAGATGAGGAGGAGAGACAAATGGGCAGTTCAGAGTGATGGTCATGGGCACAGTAGGGACTGGTGCAGACAGGCTGGCCTGTGATGTCAAGCAAGTTCTGTAACTGTCTCCAGCCTCCATTTGTGTGTCAATTTCCATGTCAGTAGGAAGACTCTGTAGGCTGCCAAGAGGAATAAGTGGGAGGATCCTCCCAGAGAGACGGGACCTGCGGGAGGGTCAGTTCTCCTGAGTTCTCATTTGGCCCCTACCCTCCAGGCTGTGGTTCTGAGGTGAGAGGCAGGGCCTGACCTCCGTTTGCCTTGTTTTGTCCTTGCAGCAGCCCACCCATGTGCCCGTGACAATGGTGGCTGCTCCCACATCTGTATTGCCAAGGGTGATGGGACACCACGGTGCTCATGCCCGGTCCACCTCGTACTCCTGCAGAACCTGCTGACCTGTGGAGGTAGGTGTGACCTGGGTGCTCTGTTGGGGTGATGGATAGGTACCTGATTCTCTGCCTGCCAGGTTGCTGCCTGGCATCCTTTTAAAATCACAGTCCCTGTGGCATCCAGTTTCCAAAGCTGATTGTCTCTTCCTTTGTCCTCCTTTCTTTTCTAGTATGTGCATTCGGTGCTATGAATTTTCCTCTAAGTACTGCATTTCCTGCATCTCACAAATTTTGTTATATTTTCATTTTCAGGTAGTTTGAATATTTTTACACTTCTCCTGAGATGACATGTTTGGCTCATGTGTTATTTAGAAGTGTTGCTTAGTTTCTAAAGAGTTGGGGCTTTCCAGCTGTCTCTCTGCAACTGATTGCTAATTTAATTCCACTGTAGTCTGAGAGCTTATTTTGTATGATTTCTATTTTAAATGTGTTGGGTGTGGTGTTTTTGTTGTTGTTTTTGTGTGTGTTTGTTTTGTTTTGTTTTGTTTTTGATACAGTGTTTCACTCTGTCACCCAGACTGGAGTGCAATGGCACAATCTTGGCTCACCGCAACCACCGCCTCCCGGGTTCAAGTGATCCTCTTGCCTCAGCCTCCTAAGTAGCTGGGATTACAAGTGCACGCCACCATACCCAGCTAATTTTTGTATTTTTAGTAGAGACGGGGTTTCACCATGTTGGTCAGGCTGGTCTCAAACTCCTGACCTCGTGATCCACCCACCTCGGCCTCCCGAAGTGCTGGGATTACAGGCCTGAGCCACCGCGCCTGGCCATTAGGTGTGTTTTATCACCCAGCATCATGTGGTTTATCTTGGTGAATGTTCTGTGTACTCTTGAAAAGAATGTGGATTCTGCTGTTGTTCGGTGGAGTGTTCTAGAAACATCAATTAGATCCAGTTGATGGATAGTGCTCATCAGGTTGTCTATATCCTTCCTTCCTCCTTCCTGAACGCCTGCTCGTGCTGTCAGTTTTTGACAGGGGTGTGGAGTCTCCAACTCTAATGGTGGATTTGTTTATTTATCCTAGTAGCTCTATCTTTTTCTTTCCTTCTACCCTTGATCCTCTTTTCCCACTAGGGCTTCCTGGTGCTACTGGTGGGAGAGTGGGGTAGTGAAGAACATGGGCTTTAGGGCCAAAGAGGCCAGGGTTCAAATCCTGGCTCTGTCACTTCCCAGTTGAGTGACCCTGGCTGGTGCCTGACCCACTCTGAGCCTCCACTTCCTCCTCCGTGAAATTGAGAGCACTTAACCTGGCAGGCCGTCATGGGCATGAAGTAACAGGGCACTCCACCTGGGCCCTGACACGTGATGTACAGGAATGCCAGCTGCTATGCCGTGGGCGTGGCATTAGTAATAAAGTGACCATCTGAATCCTCACCACAGTGAAGCCTGTCCAGGGCTTTCTGTCCTATACCCCGTGCCTCCAGGTGGCCTTGGATCCTGTTGGTTCTGTGCTCTGCTCAGCTCCCCTTCTCCTGTGGGAGCTCCTGGGGGCTCAGCTTCATCCTACATACAGCAGACAGCAGCACACGCTGGCTCTGCACCTTTTTCTTTCTTGTTTTTGAGATGGAGTCTTACTTTTGTCACGCAGGCTGCAGTGCAATGGTGTGATCTTGGCTCACTGCAACCTCCACCTCCTGGGTTTAAGCGATCTTCCTGCCTTACCCTCCCAAGTAGCTGGGATTACAGGCTCCCGCCACCACACCTGACTAATTTTTGTATTTTCAGTAGAGATGGGATTTCACTATGTTGGCCAGGATGGTCTTGAACTCCTGACCTCAGGTGATCTGCCCACCTCGGCCTCCCAAAGTACTGGGATTACAGGCGTGAGCCACTACACCCAGAGTGCTGGTTCTTTTTAGCAGCTTGTCTTGTTCCTGGAGAGACTGGCCCCGGCCCCGGAGCTCAGGGAGTAGGACTGCGGGGTGCTGCCTCACACCTCGAATTTGGCTATAAGCAGAGGGGACAGTTTTGTGACTGTCCCCCTCCTGAGCTTCCTGGCAGCTTTTCTCCAAGTTACAGCCCAAAAGCTCAGGTGGATTTGCAACCCGAGGGTGTCTGTGCACCTCCCACTGATGCCCAAATTGCCCTGGCCAAGAGACGGGGCCTTCAGAACGCTGCACCAACTGCAGCCTTGGGCCTCCATGCCAGAGGCCATGCTCTTCCGTCCAACCACCCCTTGGCCCGGGCCGTGGCCCTCCCGGTTTGGGGACTCAGGGCCTCTTCCTCACGGCTCAAGAGACATATATTTACCACACAGGTGCTTGTCATTCTCTTGTGGCCTCTTTGGCCTCTTTGGGGAGATCACAGAAGGACAGGGGCTCACTGAGGTCTCAGACATGGACCCTTTGATAGTGGCAGGAGCCAGGCCGGGCAAGGGGCAGCCAGAGTCGCTTCAGCAGTGCCACCATCATCCCCATTCAGCCCTTCCCTGAGCCAGGCGCACCCCTGGCTCTGGCTGCAGTGTCCCAGTTAGAGCTCACAGGAGCTTGTGGTGCCCGGCGGCTGCTTCTGATTGAGAGTCGAGGTCGGAGGCTTTGGGAGGCTGAGAGGCTCTTGGTTTCACAGCTGCTGAGGGAGGCTTGGGCTCCATGTCGGGTCTGCCCCGTGCCACCCTTACCCTCCAGCCACTGGCCCCCCGTGTCTCCCATGGCCAGGCACAGCTTGCAGACATCTGTCATTGGCTCCTCTCAGCCGCCGTAGGCTGACTCTGGCGTGTCCTCTCGTGGCTGAGCCCAGCGGGGACAGCCGCTTCCTTTTATTTCCCGAGAGCTCTCATCTTTGATCAGGCCCCCTCCCCTGTGCCAAAGTCCCTGTCACTCCGGTGAGCCCAGCAGTCATGGGGAAGGCCTGGGGGTTCCAAACATCCAAAGGCTTGCGTGCAGCATGACAACTTGAAACCGATGCTTTTTTCCTTGATCAGATTTCAGCTTGACGGGGGCTTTGCTTACCTTTCAATGAGGCCTGGGCCGATTTCCCAGCATCCCCTCCTGAGGCCGGCCTCTGTTTTCTGTGATTTTCTGCACAAAGTGGGAGGGAGGAGTCCTAGGAAATGAGGGGCCGCCTCGAAGCCAAGGGCTACTCTGACTTCTCTGTGCCAGTGCCCCCGCATTTGTGTGTCGCCAGCCCCTGGGACTCTGCTGTTCCCTGAGTGCTGCTGCATGCCCAGCCCACACTGAGGACGTGGAGCCCCGAGGGGCAGGATGGCCTCCATGGTCACCTGTAGGAAGTGGCCTCCACCCTCCGATGATCCTCTCTGTCCTCCCCTTCACCACCCTCCACCCTCTGATGACCCTCTCCCTCCTCCGCTTCACCGCCCTCCCTGGGGATGTCCTCGGCCCTCCTGCCTGTGCCTTCTCCCGTCTTCTGCAGGCGCCTGGGACGTGCCGACTGGTCCTCTGCCAGCTCCCGCCTTGCTGTGGGCACACCGGCCACCACAGAGGCCTGACCCTGCTTCTGTAGCAGTCCCACACCCGTGGCAGGTGTGGCTGCTGACCACCTGCTTTCTGCCACTTTGGTCCCAAGGAGGGCGCAGTGGGCACTCAGGCGTGGCTAAGCAGATGTGTGTTGCGAGGGGGAGGAGGAAGGACTGCTCCAGTCCGGGCCGAATTTCCCACCTGGAGCATTTCTGCTGTATTTGGTGTAGCGCCTGCTTCTTAAAGCTCTGATCCTAGTCAGCCCCCTTTACCTTCTGCACTGAAAATCAGACGGATGCATGTCTTCTTGCAGCGAATGTGTATTCTCCCCGCCTCTCTTCTGGGTTTGGGCTGGAGGTGGGGCGGCGCCCAGGAGCCGCAGCGATGGAGGATGTGCGGGTGCAGCACTCGGCACGGCAGGGATGCGGAGCCCTTGCTGAGTCCCTATACACTTCTGCTTTGAAGCCCAGTTACGCTATTGCCTGGGTTCTGCTGGGCGGGGCTGCGTGTGATGCTCTCCTCTGTCCCTCCCCCAGAGCCGCCCACCTGCTCCCCAGACCAGTTTGCATGTGCTACGGGCGAGATCGACTGTATCCCCGGGGCCTGGCGCTGTGACGGCTTTCCCGAGTGCGACGACCAGAGCGACGAGGAGGGCTGCCCCGTGTGCTCCGCCGCCCAGTTCCCCTGCGCGCGGGGCCAGTGTGTGGACCTGCGCCTGCGCTGCGATGGCGAGGCCGACTGTCAGGACCGCTCAGACGAGGCGGACTGTGACGGTGAGGCCCTCCCCGAAAGGGCTCTGCCAAGACCCTGGCCCTGCCCTCCGGGATACGGAGCTTGGGGCTGCCTCCGGCCTCACAGGAGTAGGGGCTCTAAAAACCTTTGCTTGCAGGGAGATCGCCAAGTCTGTCTCTTAGGCCCAACAAGGAAAACTCTGCAGTCCCACCCGTCCTGTCCCACCAGGTAGTGTGGCTTGAAGGCAGACTGTGAGGGGCTGTCTTTCCTTCCTGCATTAGGTCAGGAGTTTCACAGGAACCTGAGGCACATTCAGGGGTGGGCTGCAGAGGTCCATGGCTCACACCCTGGTAAATCCCTCCCAAAGGACAGCGCTTTCTCCACTGAGCAGTCTGTGGGGTAGTGCTTAAGCCTGCGTGGTTTCAATCAACCTGAGAATCAGGAGTTATAAAGAGATTTGCTCAGGCATCCCGGGCCCTCTCTGACCAGCGGGATCTTCCTTTAGATCTTGATGGTGAAACACATCTCTTCTGTGTCCCCTCTGAGTTTTCCTTTTTTTTTTTTCGAGACAGAGTCTTGCTCTGTCACCCAGGCTGGAGTGTCCTGGTGTAATCTTGGCTCACTGCCACCTCTGCCTCCGGGATTCAAGCGATTCTCCTGCCTCAGCCTCCCCAGTAGCTGGGATTACAGGCATCTGCCACCACGCCCAGCTAATTTTTTTATTTTTAGTAGAGACGGGGTTTCACCATGTTGGCCAGTCTGGTCTCGAACTCCTGACCTCAGATGATCCGCCCGCCTCGGCCTCCCAAAGTGTTGGGATGACAAGTGTGAGCCACTGTGCCTGGCCTGAGTTTTCCTTTTATGAATGACCTGCTTGGTTGGTTGCCTGCCACGTGTTGTCAGCACCACGGACCAGCCCAGGACTGCTGAGGAGCTTTGATGCCCTCCCTGTCCCAGAGCCGCCGGCTCTGTTAAGTAATTCACATGCAGTCTGGCCACTGTCCTACGTCCTCATTCACAAACAGCAAACATTTGTAGAAGACGAGGGCCTGGGAGTAACCTCCCTGCATGTTTTTCTGTAAAGGCACAGTGGTTAAGTCCTTCCAGCTCATTGACCATTGGATAATTTGATGGAGGCTGTAGACTAGGGGCTGGTAAACTAAGGGCCCAGGGGCCAAATCCAGCCTGCCACCTATTTTTATAAATGAAGTTTTCTTGGTGCACAGCCATGCCCATTCATTCATTTACACAATGTCTGTGGCTGCTTTCATGCCAAAAGCAGGAGAACTGAGTGGTTATACTGGAGACCTACAAGCCTTCAAAGCCCCAGACCTCACGTCTGGCCCTTGACAGAGGTTCCCCAGCCCTGCTGCGCACCCTGGCCCAGCTTGCAGGAACAGTGGTTAGAATTGTCCCTGTGTTTGTCCATTTTGCATTGCTATGAAGGAGACCTGAGGCCGGGTAGATGATGAAGGAAAGAGGCCTGTCTGGCATGCTTCAGTAGGTGGTACCAGTGTGGCACCGCATCTGCTCAGCTTCCAGTAAAGTCTCAGGAAGCTTTGACTCATGGTGGAGGTCGAAGCGGGAGTGGGTGCATCACATGGTGAGAGAGGGAGCAGCAGAGAGAGAGAGATAAAGCCTCTCCCTCTTGCCCTCACCTTGAGAGGAGATGCCAGGCTCCTTTAAATAACCGGCTCCTATGTGAACTCACAGTGAGAGCCCACTCGCTACTGTGGAGGGGGCACCAAGCCATTCGTCAGGCATCTGCTCCCATGACCCACACACTGCCCACCAGGCCCTGCCTCCAACCTTGGGGTCACATTTTATTTTATTTTATTTTATTTTATTTTATTTTATTTTATTTTATTGTTTGAGACAGAATCTCGCCCCATTGCCCAGGCTGGAGTGCAGTGGCGCGATCTTGGCTCACTGCAACCTCCACCTCCTGGGTTCAAGCGATTCTTCTGCCTCAGCCTCCTGAGTAGCTGGGAGTACAGACGCCCACCACCATGCCCAGCTAATTTTTGTATTTTCAATAGAGATGGGGTTTCACCATGTTGGCCAGGCTGGTCTCAAACTCCTGACCTTGTGATCCACCCGCCTCGGCCACTCAAAAGTGCTGGGATTACAGATGTGAGTCACTGCGCCCAGTGAGGGTCACATTTCAGTTGAGATTTGAAGGAGCAGACATTGGAACCATCTCAGCCCCCTCGTCCCACTCTAGCTTCTCCTTCTGTGTGCCCCGCAGTGCTGGTGACAGGCTGTCATGCCGGCTCTGGATCCATGCTCCATTCCAGAAGCTTTCTTCCCTGCTCGGTTACCAGAAAATTCTCCCATCCATTACAAGGACAGGGTCCCCTTATCTCCCGTTCCCAGGGCGGGACACCACGGGCAGGGCAGGTGGGGAACTGAGCAAGTTCTCCGGGGCAGGTGTGGCTATGGCTCCCTCTGGGTGGGTGTCTGGGGAGGGGAGGAGGCAGCCGTCAGCACCCTGGTTGGCTCTTCCTCCCTGGCCAGAGGCCGTGGCCTCGTGCTGCTCCCATGTGGGCTGCCTGCACCTGCAGTGGGTTCTGCTCCCTCCTCTCCCCCCAAGCTCTGCTGGGCACCACTGCCCTCTGCAGCCCCCACTCTTGGGAGGTGAGGCTCCTCATGGCCATTCCTCTCCTTGGCACCCACTCCTGCAACCTGGTAGAGCCTTGGGCAGGGTTGCCTGGTGCAGACCTCCCGGCAGTAGGCATCTGACAAATACCTCCTGGGGGGCGGGCAGGAGGTGCGTTGAGGTCTCAGCCCTGGCAGTCCCCCCACTACATGGCATAGGCCTCGCCACAGGGTCATCGAGGGAGGGTGGAGACTGCACTAGACCACTCCCCGCTGGTCCTAGAAAGGATCCCATCTGTCTGCTGTCTGTTCAGAGCCCAGACCTTGGTGGCTGGGCCCCGCATGGTGGGCTAGGGGGCACCCTCCAGCCTCTCTGAGTGTGCAGCCTCTCCTTGCAGCCATCTGCCTGCCCAACCAGTTTCGGTGTGCCAGCGGCCAGTGTGTCCTCATCAAGCAGCAGTGCGACTCCTTCCCCGACTGCATCGACGGCTCCGACGAGCTCATGTGTGGTGAGCCAGCTTCTGGCGTAGGGAGGGGGTGTCCGGGCTGGGTTCCCCGAGGAGCGTGGGGTCTGGGGGAGGAGACATGCCTTTCCAGCGGGGCCGGGGGCTGTGTGGGAGACTCAGGCGGCTGGGAGGCTCCTTGTGGGAGGCAGGGAAGCCTTTCTCAGGGCAGCAGCCAGGAAGACAGACTGAGCTATGGGCTCGGTGGCTACAGAGTCCGCATTGGCGGGTGGGGCTGACTGCGCCCAGGTGCCTGCAGCACGCACCCACCCACGGGACCTTGCTCAGCAGTGTCTGTCAGTCAGCAAGATTACCCCTGAGGGCTGCAGTGATCCTAGTCCCTGGCAGCTTACTCTCTGGCTGAGGAGGAGAGATGTTCATATATGCACGTGTGTCATGTGCACACCCGTGTACATGACAACGTCCCACATGCTCCTCAAATAGCATGACCCGTACAGTCATGGATATAGGGCCTGGGGATAGGAGGCCAAGGCAGTCAGGGAAGCCTTCCTGGAGGCAATGGCTCCTGAAAGGTTGTCTGATTCAGGCAGGAAGGGAGCTGAGTTCAGATAGGAAGTAGGAATGAGTCACTGTGTCTGGGAACATGGCCACTCCGCTGCAGAGGGACCTGGGCTGAGAGCTCTTCTCTTCTGGCTGCCGTGGGGAGAGAAGTCTGTGAGGGGAAGAAGGGGGCTTCCTCAAGGGACTCCCTGTGTCCTTTGGCACCTTCATACCAGGTCAGGCTTGGGGCCTGAAGGCAGTGGTGGGGGCCACCAAGGGTCGCCTCCTCTGCTGGGCAAGTTCCCAGTCTGACAGGCCTGTGCCTGGGCCTCTAGCATGGCTGTGGGCCGCAGCTGTGAGGGCACTGTTGATGCGCAGCCAGGCCTCGCCGCCAGAGCCCGCACGCTTCCTCCCATTCCTCTGACATCATCAACGCCCTCAGGATCGCTGGGCCAGCCCTGTGGGAGAGTGAATGTGGCTTTCGCCAAAGTTGAGTCTGGAGCCTGGAAACTTCCCCGTGGGCAGCCTTGATAGTGGAGTGGGCCCAAGGAGCCCACCCAGCCGACCCTGCCCTGCCCCTTCTATGGCCTGGTGGGTGGCACCGGGGCTACCTGGCTTTGCTCTTTCACCAACATCACCTGGGCTGGCCAGGGTGTGCTCACTTCCGCCACCACTGAGGGCCCTGGGCGAAGGACTGAATACCAGGCTGCCTTGGCAGGGATGTGTTGAAGGCTATGAGGAGTCAGACAGGGGCTGGGGTCGGAGGAGGGCGCGCTGTGCAGGCGTTGCCCTGAGGTTGGCCAGGCTCCCCAGGCCTAGCCTCCCAGCTACCCCACTTTCTCCCCATCCTCCACCAGTGGCAAAGCCAGCCCCTTCAGGGTGCACAGTGTCTGTCCCCAAGGAGGGCCATTCCCTTGGGGTTAATGTTGGCCACTTCTTTCTGTCTGGCAGAAATCACCAAGCCACCCTCAGATGACAGCCCGGCCCACAGCAGTGCCATCGGGCCCGTCATTGGCATCATCCTCTCCCTCTTCGTCATGGGTGGTGTCTATTTTGTGTGCCAGCGCGTGGTGTGCCAGCGCTACGCGGGGGCCAACGGGCCCTTCCCGCACGAGTATGTCAGCGGGACCCCACATGTGCCCCTCAATTTCATAGCCCCAGGCGGTTCCCAGCATGGCCCCTTCACAGGTAAGGAGCCTGAGATACGGAACGACCTGGAGGAGGCAGGAGAGTAGTCTGGGCAGCTTTGGGGAGTGGAGCAGGGCTGTGCTACCCTGGGCCCTCTGGTGCGCGTGGCAGACATTGCTAATCGATTACAGCATTCAGGTTTTCCCGCTGAGCCTGTGCTTGGCATCAGAATCCTTCAACACAGAGGCCTGCATGGCGGTAGCAACCCGCCCTTTGGCACTGTAGGTATGGAGGAGGCTCCTTGGACTTGACCTTCATATTCTATAGGACATGTCCTATGTTGTCCACAAATCCTCATGTCCCCTAGAAATGAATGTGGGGGCGGCTGGGCTCTCTCTGGAGCTGAAGGAGTCAGTCTGTACCATACAGCAGCTTTGTCCTGAGTGCAGTCAGGACTTGTGGCTGAGCAGTTACAATTCCTGTGTGGCCCAGGAGCGCAGGCTGTGTTTGTGGATGGCGGGGCAGCCTCACTGTAGAGCCGCACCACGCTGGGTTGTACGGTACAACGCAGGGCGACCATGGTACATCTAAGAAGGTGGAGGCCCTGTGAGGTCTGCAGGTGCGCCCACAGCTCCAGGCCACCTTGAGGATTGCCTCTGCCCACCCAGCCCTGAGTTCCCTCTCCCCTGTCCTGTCCCACTGTCACCCCAGGCCGGCCTCATTGGGAGCCTGTTGGATGGCAGGGCATAGATGTAACCTGATTCTCTCTGGGGAGCGGGGTTATCGGGCTTCTCAAGAGCTCCTGGAAGTCCGCAGTGGTGGTACCGTCACAGTCGCAGCAGCTGCTAGAGACCGGGGCCCTGTCTGTTCCTGGCAGGCTCTACGCTGCCCCTCCTGGGTTCCCAGTCCCAGCCGCAGGCCCCTTGGGGGAGGTGCCGTGTGTCTCCTGTTTCACAGATGAGCCCCGGAGAGCTCACCCTAGTAGCGGCTCAGGGAGCGGGGCACATCTCCAGCAGGACACACCGCCCTGGTCTGGGTCTCGTGGGTAGCGGGAGCCGAGGAGAGCGCCCTGTGTCTGTGGAGTGGCTTGGCAGAGCCTCGAAGCCACCTGAACCCCTGTCCCTTCCCTGCCAGGCATCGCATGTGGAAAGTCCATGATGAGCTCCGTGAGCCTGATGGGGGGCCGGGGCGGGGTGCCCCTCTACGACCGGAACCACGTCACAGGGGCGTCGTCCAGCAGCTCGTCCAGCACGAAGGCCACGCTGTACCCGCCGGTGAGGGGTGGGGCCGGGGTGGTGGGGACGGGGCTGTGGGCCCCTCCCACTGTCAGTGCTGGCCAGGGGAGGCTTCTCAGGTTCCTGGGGGCTGTCCCACCGCCTCTGAGGCATGCTTGCTTTCTTCCCTCTCCAAACCCTTCTGCTTTCTTCTTTAATGACATTGTTGACTGTGGATAATCTGAAAACCACACAAAAATAGAAAGAACCGAAATCTCACCCAAATCCACCTCCTAGAGTGGCTGTTGGGCCACGTCAGCATCCAGGCGGCCGTCTTCAGCACGGCCCAGCCCATCGATGGCCGCCTGCACCAGGCCTGTCAGCTCGCGTGAGCTTCCCCGCGCGACCCCTCCACAAACACCACAAACACCCTGTCCTCCCACCCAGGGCTGGCTGCTTCCTGGAAAACAGCTGGATGGTTTTGTGCATGACAGACAAACACAGGGTGATTTTCATGGCCTCCCCAGAGTTTTTGGCAGGGTGAGGGGCTGGCTCCAGCTGAGCCACGCCCTGAGTGAAATGACTGTGAGGAGAATAAACTGTGGACGCCCTCCAGGAGCCTCGGGACTGGCTGAGGAGAACCCCTGTTTCTGGGAGCACAGCCCCGGGGTGCCGAGGCCGAACTTGGTGCCTGGATGTGAACCCTTGTGTGTAAACAGAGGGGACTGACTTGACATGCTTTGTATGCTTTTTTTTTTTTTTTTGAGACGGAGTCTCGCTCTGTCGCCCAGGCTGGAGTGCAGTGGCGCCATCTCAGCTCACTGCAAGCTCCGCCTCCTGGGTTCACACCATTCTCCTGCCTCAGCCTCCAAAATATCTGGGACCACAGGTGCCCGCCACCTCGCCCAGCTAATTTTTTGTATTTTTAGTAGAGACGGGGTTTCATCGTGTCAGCCAGGATGATCTCGATCTCCTGGCTTCATGATCTGCCCGCCTTGGCCTCCCAAAGTGTTGGGATTACAGGCGTGAGCCACCGCACCCGGCCATGCTTTGTCTGCTTTTCATTTGTTCCTGCAGCTGTATACCCCGAAGGTGAGGCCAGTCCCCTTCCGCTTCCTCTGGGGCCTCACCAGTGAGCGCCTTTTTGCCAGGGCTGGTTCCTCCCACCCTTCTGGGTGTCCCTCACATCTGGGGTCTTGTCTTCTTTTTCCTTTTTCTTTTCTTTTCTTTTTTTTTTTTTGAGACAGAGTCTGGCTCTGTCGCCCAGGCTGGAGTGCAGTGGCCGGATCTCAGCTCACTGCAAGCTCCGCCTCCTGGGTTCACGCCATTCTTCTGCCTCAGCCTCCCGAGTAGCTGGGACTACAGGCGCCCGCCACCTCGCCCGGCTAGTTTTTTGTATTTTTTTAGTAGAGACGGGGTTTC